ACGCTTGAGGTATTCGTCCAATCACTAGGCACTGTATAGTTGGCCAATCACAGCACACCTCGCTTTTTCAGATCGATGAGCTTTGTAAAAATCGACGCATTTCAGAAAGGCGGGGCATAGAGGAGAAACAATAATGTACAGTATGTGGAAAATAATGTGTTTTTTTAACCTTAAACCGCATAAACACATTTCATTACACCAAATACACAAAATAATGTTCTTTTTAGCAGCATCATATGACCCCTTTAAATTATGTAGTCTACCTATGTTGTATTGCATTACAAGTACATGTCTGATGTATTCTATGATTCTATAGAATTTTAACATGTATAGATGTCTTTTCTATATACAAAAGTTTGGGGTTGGTAATATTTTTTGAAAATACTCTTTTATGTTCACCAATGCTGCATACTGTATATGTAATCAAAAATACAGTAAAACAGTAATATTGAGAAATCTTATTACAATTTAAAAAGCACTATTTCTATTTTAATATATTGTAAAATGTAATTTATTTGTGTGATGGAAGGAATACATTTATTGGCAGGAATATGTATTAAGTTAAGCAGCCATTACTCCAGTCAAGATTAAGCCTCACAGAAAATCAAATTTCAAGAGGCCAAATTGATATTTATGTACAGAAAGAAATATTACATTATTATAAAATGTGGGCAGAAATCTCTCCTAGTAGTTACCTTCTCCATCTTGCCTTCATTCGACAACATGTGCTCCTGTGTCTTCACTACCATTGGCAGTCGCAGCTCATTTGCATAAAGCGAAACTTTTCTCAACTTTTTCGCACTGCTGGACACGCTCACGGTTGCTCTGTGTCACCAGAAATCACAAACTTCTGGTCATTTTATCACTGCAAATGGCTGCATGTTAAGACGCCGCTCTTTGAGAAGAGAAATGTGTAAGTACGTAGGTTAATGCCACCTGTTTTCTGCTTGTAATTCTCTCATGGCTGCTGGTCTGCAATTATCCTGTTGATTGCCTTCTATCCTCTAGGACACTTCAGCTAATGGAAAGGGGATGAAAGTAGGACAGATGCATTGCTTCTCTCACACTGGCGGTCATTAACATGATGAGATAACAATCAGACCCACAAGCAGATGGGTCCTAACTGTGTCAAATGACACATGTGGAGACTGTGACAGAGACACTGCATTGGTTATGTCTTAAACCTCGTAATCGGCTCATCAGCCTTGTCGGTTATGTATGTGCGAGTGTTTTCGGCTTGATTGTGCTATGAATTCTGAGTACTGCATGCATACATGCAAAACTGAACGTGTGTGTGTGGCCACTGGCCATGATCACAATAGACTCTGAGCAATTTAAACCAGTATTTAGCCAAGTCGCAGTGCAAGTACTTGATCTGCTATAGCTGCTGTTAGAGTAAGTAGAGGTAATACTGGCCCAGGATGCGTGGAGCTGAATGAAAATGAGTTCATTCGAAGTAATGGATGGCTGATATACCCCAGACCCTCCTGTTACAATCGCCCTGCTCCCAAACACACCATTCACGCCCAAATGCCATCTGTTCAGTTCACACTTCCCTAAGTGACAGTTGCAGAACGGGCAGCTGAATTACAGGCTGTTAGTGCCTTTTCACAGAAGACAGGTGTGTGTGTGTGTGTGTGTGTGTGTGTGTGTGTGTGTGTGTGTGTGTGTGTGTGTGTGTGTGTGTATGTGTGTGTGTTTGTGTGTGTACTTCAAGGGTATCGATCAAGTTAGTAGGGGCATATCACTGCACTTCCTCAAATGATTTTTCAATGCTTTTTTGGCGCGCAGTAATAACATGTTGGAGTCTCTGACAAGACACCCGCATAAACACATTTCATTACACCAAATACACAAAATAATGTTCTTTTTAGCAGCATCATATGACCCCTTTAAATTATGTAGTCTACCTATGTTGTATTGCATTACAAGTACATGTCTGATGTATTCTATGATTCTATAGAATTTTAACATGTATAGATGTCTTTTCTATATACAAAAGTTTGGGGTTGGTAATATTTTTTGAAAATACTCTTTTATGTTCACCAATGCTGCATACTGTATATGTAATCAAAAATACAGTAAAACAGTAATATTGAGAAATCTTATTACAATTTAAAAAGCACTATTTCTATTTTAATATATTGTAAAATGTAATTTATTTGTGTGATGGAAGGAATACATTTATTGGCAGGAATATGTATTAAGTTAAGCAGCCATTACTCCAGTCTTCAGCGTCACATGATCAATCAGAAATCATTCTAATACGCTGTGCTTAGGAAAAATTTCTTATTATTAATTTTGAAAACAGTTGTACTGCTTAATATCTTTGTTGAAACATGATACTTTTTTCCAGGATTATTTGATTAATAGAAAGTTTAAAAGTACATAATTTATACTTTTGTAACATTATAAATGTTTTACTGTCACGTTTGTTCAATTTGCTTCCTTGTTTAATAAAAGTTTTAATTT